AAAAGTGCGAGGGCAAAGCGTGTACTTTACTCAAAGACTGACTTTAAAACTCCAACGACTCTCCCAGGAAGCCAAAGTTAACCCCCACACGGTCCCCGGGGCCTGCCGCATGCACTCGGAGCCCTGTGGCTGGCGCCCCGGGCCCCCGGGCCCCTCCCGCATGCCCTCGGAGCCCTGTGGCTGCCGCTCTGGCCCTGCCCTCTGGGATTCCCCATGGTCCCCTTGCACCTGCCCGGCCTCGGCTCGGGGGCAGCACAGGGGTGGGGCAGCCCAGCTCACACACTCAGCCAGCCGGCGGGAGAGCCAGACCGCACCACTGCACAGATCCCCCAAACCCAAATCTCCCCCGAGGACGGGGCCCCTCGACAGAGGTCCAGGCTCCGGCCGGACCTCTGGGACGCAGGCTCAGGGCTTGCCCTCCTCTGCACAGGGGCACAGTCCTAAGACCGCTTTATACCTCAGCAGGAGGGCACCGGACAGCCCCGAACGGACGAGCCCTCAGAAGAGAAAAACGAAGTGTGGTCACCGACAGAATGGGAAGGGATGCCGGCTGGCTACTCAGCGTTGCCCGGCGTCCGTGAAATGCACGGGGCACCGAGCGAGCCCGGGACCGGCTGAGCCCCGCAGCCACGCGGCTTCCTTTCCCGTTCCCCACCCTTAGGTGCAGTGGCCTGCGTGGTCAGAGAGGTAGTTTTCACAGGTCGGCGACCTGGCCGTGGGCGGGTGCCCAAAGCCCGCGAGGCTCTCTAATAGCAGCATTCTAGACGGCGCTGCTGCCCGAGCCGGCGGCCACGGCTTCCAGGAGCTGGACCTGACCTAATGACACCACAGCTCAGCTAACCGGAGCAGTTCCCCACAGAGCTTCTGCCCCGACCTCTAAAAGGAAGAGAAACAAGAGGGGAAGGGTTCCCTCAGGGCCAGGAGGCCAGGAAGACCAACGGCCCTGAAAGCCAGTCACTATCTGCTCGGGGTGACCCGACAGGAATCAAAAAGACAGGAGGAAAATGAGCAGGACCCTGTTCAGAGCAGCACGTCTCTGTGCTTCACCCCAGGCAGAGAAAGGAGAATTAAAAATTGAGCCCTTGGCGGGGCTAGCAGTTGACCTAATGGCTATGTCACTGGACTCCCGTGTAGTCGACCATGATTCGAGTCCCGAACCCGGTGACTTAAACTCACACCGGGCGCGTACGTGTGTGTGCCCAAGATCCCAAGAGGAGAACGGAGGAGAAGGGATTGCAGTGTGGCCATCCCCCCCTGGGGGGTGATTTCTCTGTCTCTCTCTGTCATTCTGGCGAGCGCATTAGTAATATAGTAAAAACCTTCCTAAATAAATAAATAAGCCATTGGGGCAGCAGATGGTGTGGTGAGGCCACCAGGTGGTGTGGTGGTTAAGGTGTCGGACTCCCACATGGTAAGCCACGGTTCAAGTCCTGGACCTGGCAGCTTGCTTTCTCACTTTCCCTCTCTCTCAAATGTGTGCACACTCTGTCTGTCCCTCTCTGGTCAAAATTTTCAAAAATAAGTAAATAGAGTTAAATAAAATAATTCCTTAAAAATAAATAAATAAAGAAGCCATTGTGGAGCCAGCAGGTGGCAAGATGGTTAAGGCGCTGGACTCCCACATGGTCGACCATGGTTCAAGTCCCAGACCTAGTGGCTTGCTTTCCCACTTTCTCCCTCTCTACCTCCCTCTCTCTGGTAAGTGCACGAGCCCGGTAGCAAATTTAAAACAATAATAATAAATAAACTTAAATCTTTTTTTTTAAAAAAAAGAAGAAGCCACTGTTCCCCTCAGTCAGGAGAGCCATGGAGGGGCCGGCGTGCAGGGAACGCTCCAGCAGCCAGAGAAGATTCTGGACTAAGCCGCAGATTCGTGGGTGTCTGGGGTGCTCTCCACGTAGCCCAGGGCTGTCTCGCTGCCGGACCCTACTGTCGCCGACTACTAGTAGCTTTTCTAAGGGCAATCCGTCACATGGATTAGCATGGAGCCAAGCTAGTTGATGATCAATGAAATATGTTAAATTCCATTTTTAACCCTTTCTTAGTTGACAAATTGACTTGAAATCATAGCACAAAAAAGAAAGAAGACATCAAACAAAGCCTCCCAGAGAGGGAGCTGGCCTGCCCCTGCCCACTCGCGGCTCTCAACGCGAGGGAGCCGGGAGGTGAGAAGCGTGAGCACCCCGCCACGGAGAGCCAGGCCGGAGCGCCAGCCGCAGGGAGGGCGCGGCCCCCACTCACGCCAGGCCCCTGCCGGGCCCACGAGCACCTGGGCGCCAAGGGGAGCAGGGTGGAAACCGTGGAGGGGGAGGCGGCCCTCCTCCAGTCCTTTGGTTCCTTCTCTTTGAAGACCTGTCTGCTTTTTTCATTCTTAAAAACAAAGTAGCTGCAGTGAAACAGCCAGAAGCTATTCCCGGTGAGCCACAGAGGACCTGTGGCTGCCTTGAAATAAACTCCAGGACCTGAAATGGCCTCATCCTGGCAGGAAAAGAGAAACGTGCCAACTCTCCCTCGCCATGAGAAGGCTGGGGGACAGGTGCAGAGGCTGCTGCGGAGGCTGAGCGCCTGCCGGCCCAGGCCACCCGCACGCAGGAGGGAAGGAAACTTACTTAAGTGAGACTGGGAATGGGCTCGCCCTTTCCCAGATACATCTCGTGGCCGCAGCTTCGGTGGCCTCAGGCCGGCAGATTGGCCTCCCAGCCCTGGGCAATGTGCTGTGGTGAAAACCTGTTCTGGGACTTGGAAGCCTGTCACCGAGCTGCAGAGCTCGTGGTGGGTAACGGGGCCCCTGGACACAACCGGAGGGTCCCAAATCACTGAGCCTCCTGGCAGCCGGGAGGGTGGAGACGGGGGTGCAGGGCAGGCCACAGCGAGGGCCCCCCACATGAAGCGGCTGCTTTCCTGGCTGGGCATGCAGGCGGAAAGAGAAGGGACATGCTCAAGGGGCTGCCTCTCCTGTCACCTTTGTCCCTGAGGACAAGACAGGCTCGCCTACTCCATCCCCTTAGAATGAGAACCACCCTCGGGCAAGGCTGCCTCCTAAGATGAAAGTCAGAAGGAACTTCCCCACGCTGCGTGTTTCTAACGGTCATCCCAGCAGACGGCGCCACCCCAGCAGACGGCGCCACCGAGTCCGCCGGCCGGCAGCTCAGAAAAAGCAGGCCCATGAGCTCTTCAGCGGGGCCTACAGCGCCACCCAAGCCCGCCGTCCGGCAGCTCAGAAAAAGCAGTCCCATGAGCTCTTCAGCGGCACTCACACCTGACGGAGGGGCAGGGAGGGCTGGAGGGAGACGGGAGACTGGCCGTCCTCACGGAGCGCTCGTCTGCCAGAGCCGCCTTCGGGGGAAACGCAGATGAGGGGACACAGGGGTGGGC